CCCGGCCCCGCCTCTCCCGCCTCCTTCTGGAACTTTCCCCCCTTTTCCTGTTCCCTCTCCAGGCTGTTTGCCCCATCCCGAGCTTGTTCCGACTCGCGCTCATTAATAATTAATAAATAAATAATTAATGACTGAATTAATTAATCCTTTGGGGATTGGAATTGCCCTTGGGAATTGGGAACCTCCCCCTGGGAATTGGGATCCTCCCCCCTTTGGGATTGGGGATCTCTCCACTTTGGGATTGGGATCGGGATCTCCTGGGACTGGATTCTCTCCTTTGGGATTGGGATCTCCTTTTGGGATTGGGATCCCTCCCTTTGGGATTGGGGATCTCTCCACTTTGGGATTGGGATCGGGATCTCCTGGGATTGGATTCTCTCCTTTGGGATTGGGATCCCTCCCTTTGGGATTGGGATCTTCCCTTTGGGATTGGGATCGGGATCTCCTGGGATTGGATCCTCTCCTTTGGGATTGGGATCTCCTTTTGGGATTGGGATCCCTCCCTTTGGGATTGGGGATCTCTCCACTTTGGGATTGGGATCGGGATCTCCTGGGATTGGATTCTCTCCTTTGGGATTGGGGTCCCCCCCTTTGGGATTGGGGATCTCATTTTGGGATTGGCATCCCCCCCTTTGAGACTGGGATATCTCCATTTTGGGATTGGGACTGGGATCTCCTGGGATTGGATCCTCTCCTTTGGGATTGGGATCGGGATCTCCTCGGATTGGATTCTCTCCTTTGGGATTGGGATCTCCTTTTGGGATTGGCATCCCCCCCTTTGGGATTGGGGATCTCTCCACTTTGGGATTGGGACTGGGATCTCCTGGGATTGGATCCTCTCCTTTGGGATTGGGGATCTCTTTTGGGATTGGGATCCCCCCCTTTGGGATTGGCATCCCCGTGGCTCCCGGACCCCTCCCTCTCTCCCTGGAATTCAGCAGCTCCCGGGGGATTTTTTCTGGGAATTCGGGATGGAGGGAGGGAGGGAGGGGCCGTGTCCTCGTCCCCTCCCCGCGTGTGCCCCGCTCCCAGGGCTGCGGATCCCGCTGGAAAAGCCCCGATCTGGGGGTGTTTAACCCCAAAATTCAACCCGGTTGGAATTCCCGGGTGGGAACCACGAGCGGCATTCCCGGAGCGGGGCCGGGCCGGGAGCGGGGCGGGGGCAGCGGAGCCGCCTCCCCCCGGGCGGCACCGCCGAGCGCCGGCCCCGCTCCGGCCGGAGCATCCTCGGTGCTCCATGGATTTGGGATCCCCTGGCACCCCGGGCTCACTCTGGGCTGGCAGTGTCCCTCTGCCCCTCCCCCATCAGCTCCGGGAGCTCCCAGGCCCCGCCCTGTGGCAGCTCCTCCCACGATTCCCGGGAATTCCCAGCACAATTCCCAGCGATTCCCGACACAATTCTGGCCTCTGCCCCTCCCCCATCGGCTCCCGGAGCTCCCAGGCCCCGCCCTGTGGCAGCTCCTCCCACGATTCCCGGGAATTCCCGACACAATTCCTGACACAATTCCCAGCACAATTCCCAGCGATTCCCGACACAATTCCCCACACAACTCCCCACAATTCCTGACACAATTCCCAGTGATTCCCAGCCCAGTTCCCTGTCATTCCCAGCCCAATTCCCGACACAATTCCCAGCCCAATTCTCAACCCCATTCCCAACAATTCCCAGCAATTCCCAGCCCCATTCCCGACAATTCCCAGCCCAATTCCCAACACAATTCCCAGCCCCATTCCCAACAATTCCCAGCCCATTTCCCGTCCCACTTCCCAGCCCCATTCCCAGCCCCATTCCCGACAATTCCCAGCCCCATTCCCGACAATTCCCAGCCCCATTCCCAGCCCCATTCCCGACAGTTCCCAGCCCGTTCCCAGCCCGTTTCCCCTCCCCGGCAGGTGGGCGAGTCCCGTTTCCACACGGAGCGCTGGGTGCCCCCCACGCTGGAGGAGCTCTACTTCCTGCGGCCCCCGGCCGAGCTGGAGCGAGAGAAGTTCGGGCTGCAGAGCTACGTCTGAGACCCCAGACCCGCCCCAAACCCACCCCAAACCCCAACCCCGACCGGAGCATCCTCGGCATTCCCGGGGGATCCAGTCCGACCGGAGCATCCTCGGCATTCCCGGGAGATCCGGTTTGATCGGAGCATCCTCGGCATTCCCGGGGGATCAGGTCCGGCCGGAGCATCCTCGGCATTCCCGGGAGATCCGGTTTGACCGGAGCATCCTCGGCATTCCCGGGAGATCCGGTTTGACCGGAGCATCCTCGGCATTCCCGGGAGATCCGCCCCGACCGGAGCATCCTCGGCATTCCCGGGGGATCCAGTTTGACCGGAGCATCCTCGGCATTCCCGGGAGATCCGCTCCGACCGGAGCATCCTCGGCATTCCCGGGAGATCCGCTCCGACCGGAGCATCCTCGGCATTCCCGGGAGATCCGCCCCGGCCGGAGCATCCTCGGCATTCCCGGGGGATCGGGTCCCACCGGAGCGTCCTCGGCATTCCCGGGGGATCCGCTCCGGCCCGAGGCCCCGCGGAGGTCCCAGCGGATCCGCTCCAGCCGTGGACGGAGGCTCCGCGCACTCCCGGGCTCCGCTGCTGCCGGGGTTCGGTTCCGCCGCCGCTCCCGTCCCGCTCCCCGCCATGAGCTCCGCGCCCTGCCCCTCCCGGGAGCCGCCCCGGTACCTCAGGTGAGCCCCGGGGACCCCCGAGGAGCCCCCCCGGAGAACCGGCAGCTCCGGGCGGTGCCGCTCAGCCGGGGCTGCCCCGGGACGGGCCCCGTTTCCCGGTGCCGGGACCCCGCGGGGGTAAACGGGACCTCCCCGCTGCCCCGGGAGCTGCCCCGGCTCGGTGCCAGCCCCCGCGCGCTGCCCGGGGACCCCGGGCGGGGTCCCGGTCCCCACGGGTGTCCCCTGGGGCCGGGGAGGGGGGGTCGGTACCCACGGAGCCGCAGTTGCCGGAGCAACCGCATCCCGGGTCTCCATGGCTGCGGCGGGGATGCTCCGGGAGAGGAGCGCGGGGACCCGCGGGAGCCAGGATGGGCGGGATGGGGACACCGGGACACCGGGGACACCGGGGATGGCGGGGACACGCGGCGGGGACAGCGGGGATACCGGGAATAGCGGGGACAGCGGGGAACCCCGGGGACACCGGGAACAGCGGAGACACTCGGAGGAGCGCGGGGACCCGCGGGAGCCGGGATGGGCGGGATGGGGACACCGGGACACCGGGGACACCGGGGACACCGGGGACATGCAGCGGGGACAGCGGGGACACGCGGCGGGGACAGCGGGGATACCGGGAATAGCGGGAACAGCGGGACAAGCGGGACACGCGGCGCGGATGGGACGGTCCCACGGCCGGGCTGTGCCGGGAGGGAGCGGCGGAACGGGAACCGGGAATGGGACCGGGGTGTGGGACCGGGGTGTGAAACTGGGATTTGGGACCGGGATGTGGGACAGGGATGTGGGACTGTGGTGTGGATCGGGGATGCAGAGAGGGGACACAGCCGGGAAAAGTGTCGGGATACGGAACTGGGATGCGGGACCGGGGTGTGGGACCGGGGTACCGGGACCGGGATGCGTTCCGGGGGTGGGGCCGCAGCTCCCGGGGAGCCCCCGCCGTGTCCCCGCCCGGGGCCGGTGCCAGGAGTGTCCCTGCCAGCAGCGATTGGGGACAATGCGCTCCGGGAACGGACGCGGGGAACTGCGGCCGACACGTGGCTTTTGTTGGGCGAGGGACAACACAGCTGGACCCGGCCACCCCCGGCCACCCCCGCTGGCCGCGGGAGGGGCTCCCGGCACTGCTCGGTCCCTTCCCACCCCTTTTCCTCCCGATTTTCTCCCCGGAGCCCCCCGTGTGGGGCTGGGATAGGGCTGGGACTCACTAGAGGGCACCAAAGGATTGGGGACAGGGATGGGAATGTGGGGTGGGAATGCGGGATGGGAATTGGAGATGGGATGTGATTGGGGGGTGGGAATTGGAGATGGGATGGGAATGTGGGGTGGGAATATGGGATGGGGATATGGGATGGGGATGTGGGACGGGACGGAGTTTTCCTGGAAGGTTTCTCGGGACAGCCAAGGGATGGGATGTGGGAATGAGGCAACCAGGAACTTGCTGGGGCCCTGCTGGAATGACCAAGGGAGTTTTTGGGCTCTGCCAGGACGCGGCTGGTCCGTGGGGACAGCCTGGATGGGATGGGACCACCCTGCAGCCTGGGGCCCCAACCCGGACCCCAATCAGAGACCCCAAACCGGGACCCCTCAGCTGTCCCCCGGCAGTGCCGGGTCCCCTCCCGGGGCTGCCTCTGAGCGCTTCCCCCCGGAACGCGGGGTACGGCGGGGTCTGGATGCCCCCGGCTCCCCTCGGTACCGCCGGGATCCCGGTCCCGCTCAGATTCCATCCCAGCGGTACCGGCGGGGTCTGGATCCCCCCGGCTCCTCTCGGTACCGCCGGGATCCCGGTCCCGCTCAGATTCCATCCCAGCGGTACCGGCGGGGTCTGGATGCCCCCGGCTCCCCTCGGTACCGCCGGGATCCCGGTCCCGCTCAGATTCCATCCCAGCGGTACCGGCGGGGTCTGGATCCCCCCGGCTCCTCTCGGTACCGCCGGGATCCCGGTCCCGCTCAGATTCCATCCCAGCGGTACCGGCGGGGTCTGGATGCCCCCGGCTCCGCTCGGTTCCCCCGGTACCGCCGGGATCCCGTCCCGGCGGGCTCGGTTTCCCTCCCGGCGGCGCTGGAGGCGGCCCAGGCCGCTCCGCCCGGCAGGTGAAGCCAACAGATGTGAGCAATTATTGTCGCGCTGGGGCTGCCAGCTCCGGGCTCGGCGGCGGCGGAACAACCGCGGCTTTGTTCGCTTTTATGTAACCGGGGAACCGGGGCCGCCGCCAGCTCGGCCGAGCGCCGCTCCCGGAGCGGCCCGTGGGGTCACGGTCCCCTCCGAGCGACATCCGTGCGACATCCGTGCGACATCCGTGTGACAGCCGTGCCCCCCTCCGAGCCCCGGCGTGTCCCGAAATGGAGTGGGGTCCCGAATCCTGCCGGGGGCGTGGGGACAGCTCTGTCCCCCTGTCCTGAGCGGTGACTGTCCCCAAGGCAGCCAGGCGGAGGCGGAGGCCATGGAGAAGGAGCTGCTGGAGGATTATCGCTTCGGGCGGCAGCAGCTGATCGAGATCTGGGGACACGCCTGTGCCGTGGCTGTCACCAAGGTGAGGCTGGGGGCACCCAGAGGGGCTGGGGGCACTCACAGGGGCTGGGGACACCCAGAGGAGCTGGGGACACCCCAAAGGGGCTGGGGTCCCCCCGGGGAGGGGGATGCTCAGCCCCTCCCGGGGGTCGGGGCGGGGGCCATGGGGTGCCCAGGTGTCCCCGTGCCCTGGCGATGTCGCTGCTGCGGGGATCGCCCGGGGCTCGTGCGGGATGTGAGGAGCAGGAGGAGGAGGAGGAGGAGGAGGAGGAGGAGGAGGGCCAGGGGTCCATCAAGGGCAGCTTTGTGCCTCGGGCCCGCCTCAGCTTTTCCATCGGCCCTTCCCCGCTCCCAGCGCCGCCTGAGGAGCAGAAATGTTTTGGTGCCGGAGCCGTTGCAGCATCCCTGACCCCACCTGGGGCTCAGCATCCTCCTCTTCCTCAGGGCCACCCCAGTGAGGCTCTCCCAGCCGCCCGGGGTGTCCCCGCGGTGTCCCCGCGGTCGTGTCCCCTGTGCCCGGAGGTGCCGGCGGCGTGGCCAGCGCTGGGCCGGGGCCAGGGCCGGGCTGCCGGGGCCGTGCCCCGGAGCCAGGATCCGCGAGCAGGAAAAAATCCGTCAGCGTCCCTGCTCCCTCCCTGCTCCCTCCCTCCCTCCCTCCCTGCTCCAGCGGTCCCGGATTGTGCCGCGGGGGGATGGGGGGTCCCGGGCACGGTCCCGGCCCAGCCGGGGCATCCCCTGCTCCCCCCGCTGGCATCGCCCCGACCCCACCCGGGCACCTCCCTGAGCCCGCCGGAATTCCACCGCAGGCACCGTGCTCACCCCGCCACGGCCATCATCTTCATCCCACCGCTGTCATCATCTTCATCCCGCCACGGCCATCATCTTCATCCCGCCACGGCCATCATCTTCATCCCGCCACGGCCATCATCTTCATCCCACCGCTGTCATCATCTTCATCCCGCCACGGCCATCATCTTCATCCCGCCACGGCCATCATCTTCATCCCACAGCTGGCACCATCCTCACCCCAGTACAGCCCCTGTTCCATCCCACTCCGAGCGCTGCCCAAGTCCTGCTGTGGATGCCATTCCCTGCCGTGCCGTGCCGTGCCATTCCCTGCCATGCCGTGCCATTCCCTGCCGTGCTGTGCCGTGCCGTGCCGTGCCATTCCCTGCTGTGCCGTGCTGTGCCAGCCCCGTCCTGCTCCATGTGCCACCTCCATCCACCCCACGCTGGTGCCAGTGCCAGCGCCACTGTGACCTCCCCGTGTCGCCGCAGCCTTTGCCCTGCTCCCCCTGCCATGTCCCTGGGTGACACCGGGCCATCCCCGTGTCCCCCTGTCCCTGCCGTGTGACAGTGCCACCCCACCGTGTCCCGTCCCTGCCCTGTGACAGTGCCCACCTGCTGACCCCTGTGCACATTGTGTCCTTATCCCCGTGTGACAGTGCCACCCCGCTGTCCCTGTCCCCGTGTGATGGTGTCACTGTCCTTGTTCCCGCTGTGTGACAGTGCCACCCTCAGTGTGACAGTGTCCCTGTCCCCGTGTGATGGCGTCCCCTCGGTGTGATGGTGTCCCTGTCCCCGCTGTCCCTGTCCCCGCTGTGTGACAGTGCCACCCTAGGTGTGACAGTGTCCCCTGGGTGTGACGGTGTCCCTGTCCCCGCAGGCGTTCCCGCTGCTGTCGCTGCGGCGCAGGCAGCCCACGCTGCTGGTGGCGTGCGGGCCGGGGCACCCACGCTGGTGCCAGTGCCAGCGCCACTGTGACCTCCCCGTGTCGCCGCAGCCTTTGCCCTGCTCCCCCTGCCATGTCCCTGGGTGACACCGGGCCATCCCCGTGTCCCCCTGTCCCTGCCGTGTGACAGTGCCACCCCACCGTGTCCCGTCCCTGCCCTGTGACAGTGCCCACCTGCTGACCCCTGTGCACATTGTGTCCCTTATCCCCGTGTGACAGTGCCACCCCAGTGTCCCCCTGTCCCTGCCGTGTCCCCTGTCCCTGTCCCCGCGGTGTGACAGTGCCACCCTGGGTGTGACAGTGTCCCCTGGCTGTGACAGTGTCCCCTCGTTGTGATGGTGTCCCCTGGGTGTGACCGTGTCCCTGTCCCCTGGATGTGACCGTGTCCCCTGGGTGTGACCGTGTCCCCTGGGTGTGACGGTGTCCCTGTCCCCTGGGTGTGGCCGTGTCCCTGTCCCCGCGGTGTGACGGTGTCCCCTGGGTGTGACGGTGTCCCTGTCCCCTGGGAGTGACCGTGTCCCCGTCCCCTCGGTGTGACCGTGTCCCCTGGGTGTGACGGTGTCCCTGTCCCCGCGGTGTGACGGTGTCCCCTGGGTGTGACGGTGTCCCTGTCCCCGCGGTGTGACCATGTCCCTGTCCCCTCGTTGTGATGGTGTCCCCCGGGTGTGACGGTGTCCCTGTCCCCGCGGTGTGTCCGTGTCCCTGTCCCCCGGGTGTGACGGTGTCCCTGTCCCCGCGGTGTGACGGTGTCCCTGTCCCCGCGGTGTGACGGTGTCCCTGTCCCCTGGGTGTGGCCGTGTCCCTGTCCCCGCGGTGTGACGGTGTCCCTGTCCCCGCTGTCCCTGTCCCCGCTGTGTGACAGTGCCACCCTAGGTGTGACAGTGTCCCCTGGGTGTGACGGTGTCCCTGTCCCCGCAGGCGTTCCCGCTGCTGTCGCTGCGGCGCAGGCAGCCCACGCTGCTGGTGGCGTGCGGGCCGGGGCAGCACGGGGCCATCGGGCTGGTGTGCGCCCGCCACCTCCGCACCTTTGTGGGTACCTCTGCCCCCCGCCCGCTCCTCCTCCTCCTCCCGGCCTTCATCCCAGAGCCCCCGGCCGCAGCGCTGCCGTTCTCCCGCAGGATTACGAGCCCACCATCTTCTACCCCAAGCGCTCCCCGGACCCGCTGCACCGCGACTTCACCACGCAGTGCGAGAGGATGGACATCCCCTTCCTGTCCTACCTGCCCGCCGAGGTGACCCCGGCCCCGAATCCCGGGATTGATCCCCCTCCTTCCCTTCCCCCCTGTGGACCCCCAAATCCCGGGATTGATTCCCCTCCTTCCCTTTTTCCCCGTGAACCCCCAAATCCCCGGATTGATCCCCCTCCTTCCCTTTCCCCCGTGAATCCCCAAATTCCCCGGATTGTCCCCTTCTGCTTCCCTTTTCCCCCGTGAACCCCCAAATCCCCGGATTGATCCCCCCCTCCTTCCCTTTTTCCCCGTGAACCCCCAAATCCCCGGATTGATCCCCCCCTCCTTCCCTTTTTCCCCGTGAACCCCCAAATCCCCGGATTGATCCCCCCCTCCTTCCCTTTTTCCCCGTGAACCCCCAAATCCCCGGATTGATCCCCCCCTCCTTCCCTTTTTCCCCGTGAACCCCCAAATCCCCGGATTGATCCCCCCCTCCTTCCCTTTTTCCCCGTGAACCCCCAAATCCCCGGATTGATCCCCCCCTCCTTCCCTTTTTCCCCGTGAACCCCCAAATCCCCGGATTGATCCCCCCCTCCTTCCCTTTTTCCCCGTGAACCCCCAAATCCCCGGATTGATCCCCCTCTCCTTCCCTTTCTCTGCTTCCCCTGTGAACCTCCAAATCCCCCGGGCTGTCCCCTTCTGCTTCCCTTTTCCCCCATGAACCCCCAAATTCCCCTCCTCCTTCCCTTTATCTTTCCCTTGAAATCCTCCTGCTTATCCCCCTCTCCTTCCCTTCCCCCCCTGTGAACCCCCAAATTCCCCTGATTGTCCCCTTCTGCTTCCCTTTTCCCCCGTGAACCCCCAATTCCCCGGGATTGATCCCCCTCTCCTTCCCTTCCCCCTGTGGACCCCCAAATCCCCGGGATTGATCCCCCTCTCCTTCCCTTTCCCCCGTGAACCCCCAAATCCCCGGATTGATCCGCCTCTCCTTCCCTTTCCCCCGTGAACCCCCAATTCCCCGGGATTGATCCCCCTCTCCTTCCCTTTTCCCCCGTGAACCCCCAAATCCCCGGATTGATCCGCCTCTCCTTCCCTTTCCCCCCTCACCCCCCCACTCCCCCCCCTTCCCCCCCCCCTCC